CCACAGGTTCTACCCTAACATGTAGCTTTCAGAGACATGACATACACATCTCAGAACTTTACCGTTATGTATTTCCAGAACCCTCTGGCCCAACGACATCTTCGGCAGCTGCGAAGATGACCCCGTGCAGACACTGTTACACATCTACTTCCACCACCAGACACTAGGCCAGACGGGCAGCTTTGCGGTCATCGGCTCAAACCTGGACATGTCAGAAGCTAACTACAAACTGATGGAACTTAACCTGGAGATCAGAGAGTCTCTCCGAATGGTGCAATCATACCCGCTTTTAACACAGGCCAAACCAGTTGGAAATATGGCGAGCACTGGATTCTGACTACTTCCCATACTCAAGAGAGGGAGTATGCTGAAAATGATCAAGATTATTAACCAAGCACCTTTTATGAACCCTTGTGATTCACTGATAACTTTTGGGCAGCACCTTCGATTGTAGTCTACTAATTCCAAACTGTCAAAAACAAAAAAACCTGAAGAAAAATAACAAACTGCTTAACTGCTGCCTGTACCTCCACAGTAACTGTATGAAGAAAGGAATTTTTTTTTTAATTTACCTATGTGAAAAAGCAAAAAGGGCTAAAAGTGATGCATACAAATCATTACTCTGGAGCAAAGAATTCCGAGATGTTTGCAATAATGGTCTCCGAGACATTGCAGGGCAGGTGAGATGAGGCTGGCATGGGGCCAATTCACTGTGGCTGAAGACCTGCCACCTGCAGAGCCCCTTGATTTCTAGCTGTCATCAGCATAACCTACAGTTGACGCTTACTCATCATCAACGTGACCATCCAGTCTGACAGATAGCAAAGACTTATTTGCAAAAACCATAGGGTCTGGGGTTTGTTTTTGTTTTCTCCCGACATACGGGATAAGGGTTTGGGGGCGTTTGTTTGTGGGGTTTTTTGTTTTGTTTTTTGGGTTTGTTTTTTTTTTTTGGTCTGTATAAGGAATTATGTGTGTGTGAGTGGGGGGGTGAGTGTGTGGCAGTCCTATTTTCGAAGTGTGGATGTCTGGTGAGAGCTTCTCAGAGCAATGCCTAAAAGAGCACTGCAAGATTATTTTTGAAGAAATTTTATTTTATTAGATCTAACTCTTCATAGTGTGTAAATGTCAGAACACTTTAATAATATTTTAAAGCTGGGCTTTCCCAGTGTCTCGAAAAAAGAAATAATATATCTGTTAATATTATTGGACTCTGCTGCTCAGCTCTCTGATCAGTGCTTATGTTGATATTGTTAACTAACCAAAGTAGATGCCTGCAGAGACTTTAAAATGTAAAATAAAGATGTACGCTGCCCGCCAGCGCTCCTCAATAGACAAGTTAACTTATTTTACTCCTTAATTATTATAGACGCTGCATAGACTAAAACGTGTATTTTCTTGTACATTCATGCCACGCACTGTTATACCAGAGTACATGTACAACGCTAAAGGAAAAGTTGTCACTGAAGGTGGACTGTGTATTCTGCAGGCTCTGAAGGCTGCAGACTTCAAAAGAAGAGATGCAAATGACTTGTGTGTTTATGCAGGATTCGACTTGTTTCAGGCTATAGGAACCTTGGAGCAATGGGGGAAAGACAGAAAGCCTGAAGACTGACTCCCAAAACACGCAATATACTTCTCCACTGTCTAAGTTTGTAGCATAACACAAACTGGATCCTCTGTCCTTTTTTTAAAAAAATAGCATTTTGTAAAGGAAATGAATGTAGTCCCACAACTCCTCCGATTTAAAAGGAACACCTTGTATATTTTATATGCATCTCTTATCCACTGTGACTTTTATTTTCAAAACTGGACTCTGACTCCAGAGTTTGGAATGTAGAAATGAATTGCTTAGCTTTGCCTTTTCCTGGGGGCGTGGACCCTGACAGAAATGTAATTATGCTCAAGTGCATTAATCGAAGGCACTGTGCACGCCGTTGGACTGTTGGCCATAGTTATGTTTCCTGTAAAATTCCATAACTGGTCACAGCACATTCATAATCACTGTATTTTTTGACCCAGATAAAAACAACAATTATTTTAATGGTGTTCTGGTACTGTAAATGGTGTCCTTTAAATTATTAATAACTCTTGGGTTGGGGGCCAGGCACAGGGATGGTGTCCAGAGACACACCACACTTTCACATCCCCTCTCCCATTTTCTCATCCTCCTTACATCCTTTTTGTTAAAAATAAAATTGAAAAAAGCACTGTGGCTGTTGCTTTGTGTGGTATTTTTAAGAAAAAGAAATAATGACTGTAGATGACATGTTACCTGCAGAGTTCTCACATATAATTTCACTTGAAAAAAGAAGAAAAGTTAAATTGACGACCCAACTTTGAGCAACTAATATGTAACTAATCTGGTAATGTGATAAAAGATGAACCCACCTACAAAAACATATCCCTGAGGACTATCTTCCCCACATACCTTCCCCATCTTCTGACTCCAGAGTTTGCATTTGCTGACAGAATATTAATGCTTAATTTTAATCAGATGTTTTTATTACACTGAGAACCTAGTGTTTGCTACATACAACCCTCTTCACCAATTCGCCATTTTAAATAGGAAACAGATTTGGCGGTCTCCTCTTGCTGCTCTTAAGGAAGCCAGAGTACATTAGCAGGGTTTGGAGTGGTCTCCATTTTTAGTGACTCAGAAGGTCGAACTCTTCACCACCACCACCTACAGCTGGCTTGAAGCACTGCTAAGGGACTGTTTAGGAAAGATCACCACCAGAACACAGGGACAACTACTCTGTCACTGCAGCATCACCTACACCAGGAAAAAGAGCTGATGATAGTTACCGTCCTTCTCCCCACCCACCCCCAGTCTTTGTAATGGTCTACAGTTAACTTTGAAAAGAATTACACAAAAAATAACCCTGTCAACACCATCAGAGGCCGTATTTGGAGTGTCTCCTGCTACCTTTTCACTGTCTCAAATGAGATGCTCTCTAAGCTTTGGTCCCGTGTGCATAAACAGTGCTAGAATGTTGCCATCGAAGACCGAAACTTTCTGTGTCACTTTGTTCAGTATCCAAGTGCCCACATTCTGATTAGCCGCCCCCAGGACATTAATGACAGCATTAACCTTAACAAATGACTTCACTCCCCACCTTAAGTCAGTGGATTTCTCTTAGGACCCGTTGCCGGGAGATATCTGTAGTTCACTTATCCACGTGGCAAGCATTTACTAAGTACATATGTATATCATGTCCCACCTAAAGGATGGGAGTCGACTGCATTGCCTTTACCCGGGCCTCGTCCCAGCCAAGTCAGGTCACCCATGAGCACACATGGAATCACCACTTTTAACCACATTCATTCACCACCACTTTAGTCCCCAAAACTCCTTACCTCTCTGCAAGTACTAAGGGTGTGTTACCATAAGAGGCATCTGTCCTCATGGCCCACTATCCACAACACACCTTTAAAATGTTTTGGTGGGGGCTTGAAAGGTGACTCAGCACTGGCTGTCCTTGCAGAGGACCCAGCTTCAGTTCCCAGCACCTATGTGGTGGCTCTCAGCTACAACTCCCTTTCCAGGGAGACCCAATGCCCTCTTGCCGCCTCAGGTGTGGAAAGCATGGGACTGACCCAGGCACCCTGAATGTGGGTGTCAGTGAGGAGGCCTAGGCAATCTATGGGGCCTTGGGTAGTAATCAGTATTTATCCCTGGCATACAAATGGACTTTGGGTGCCCATCCAACAATGAGGGATGCTCTCAGCCTGGACTCTTGTGGAAGGGCCTAGGCCCTGCCCTGAATGAAATGACAGACTCTGGAGATCTACCATGGAGGGTCTCACCCTCCCTGGGGATTAGAGTGGAGATTGGGTGGGAGACTGGGGGGCCTGGTGGGGAGTTATGGGGAAGGGAGGGAGAGGGAGCTGGGATTGACATGTGAAATAAACTTGTTTCTAACTTAAATTTAAAAAAGGAAAAAAAAAAGTGAGGAGACATGCATGAATAAAAGGCAAAGCATGGGCAACACATACAAGCATAAAAAAAAAAAATAAAGACCTCTTAGTGCCTTCTCTTAGATAACTACATAATGACCAATCCCAGGCAGGGCCTGGAAAGTTCCCCAATGCGATCTTGCACTCAGTATTTGTCCTCTGGTTTTCTCTGCCACAGCATCTTTGCACATGTTGTCCCCGGCATGAAGCATGTCTATCAAACTCAACGGACTCAAAGTTCACCTGGGGGGGGGGGGGGTCTAAGTCAGAGAATCTGTATGCAGGCATTTAGCTAAGATGAGTTCTGCACGGGGTCAGCCCTCTGTCTCAGCTATATGAAGCTGGCAACCCCCGTGAGAATCACTATGAGGATTAGAGATTATTTGCTGTTCCCTAGGATACTTGTTAGCCATGCCCCCATGAGATTCAGGCTGATAGCACACACCGTCAGCTTGATTCATTTGGGCCCAGGTGGACCTGTCCCCTGAACACAAGGACACTGGAGAGTCCTCAAGCTGGCTTTGGACTTTCAGCACATTTCTTGAAATACTTGCTAGTCCACAAGATGTCAGGCTGGCATCCATGTTGGGGGAGGGGGCACCACTGTATCATGTTTAGAAGACTGGGAGCAGTTTCCACCTGATTCCAACTGTGATTTGTGTGTTAGCCCCACACCCGACACCTGCTTCGTTAGAAGCACCTGAGGCTGCATGCCCATCACCGTCACCTGCCAGTGGACTGCCAAGGTTCCCCAGGAGACCTTTAAATTTGGAGGCTTAATTTAAATAAGACACTACACTACACCCCACGCAACTTTACCGTGTGTCAATCTCGTCTAATACCATCTTTCTTAGGAGCTTCAGACCTTCAGACTGAAGCTGTAGATGTCTATCAAACCTTAAGAGTGCTTCTGACCTCCCTAACTCAGCCTGGCCCACTCTGCCATCATCAGATGTTAAACAAGGTGTAGATGGCAGGCCCTGCCTTTCAGCACAAACTCTCCCGTCAAACGGAGACAAAAACTGGATAAAGCCTCAAGCTGTTTTTGCAATACCTTTTTATTTTACAGGCTTTATCAAAGTACACTGCCTTTCGTGAAATATTGAGAAGGGAGCAGTGGAGAGAAGATGGAGCGTGGGAAGAAGCTCGCTCTCCCACTCCATTAGCCCAACCTAGCAGAAAACATTTGGCTTTCACTAAATGATGTATTTGAAGCTGAAGGTGCTATCGCAGGACAGCCGTTTGTCCTTGCATCTGCCACACAAGTCTTGACGATGGGGGCGTTTAGGGTCCACATGGCGAAGTCTGACTGGGCAGGTGCATCGAGTTCTCTTACAACTCTGGAGGATCAGAATGAAAGTACAAAGGTTGGACCTTTCCTCCCCTTGCTTCTTGGAGCTTCAAAGCAGGTAAGAGGGCAGAACACGTGGATTGTATGCAGGGGTTTAAGGCACCTTATTGCAGAAAGGTGCCTACTATCCCCTTTTCCAAACAGAGTCTCAATGGTTTTCTACCCTTAGTTTCTTGGTGCCCACTCTAAGGTAATTAGTTCTCCAATTACCAACTTAAGACAAGTACACTGACTGGGCTCTCAGACAGACACGTGTTAGCTCTAAATAGCAGGTAAATGATGTCACTTTTTAAAAATTATCTAAGTCCCTTTGGCACAGTGCTAATCAATACTAATCAAGCAAATGTTTAGCCTCCACAGTTTTAGGTGAAATACATAAAGCAATTTAGAGTGGCCTTACAGGAAACTCCCCTTGTGAACTCTCAAGGAAGCCAGACTGAAGCTCAGTCCATGTGTTTCCCGCTCTAACTTGGATATGTGCTTTCTATGTAGCATTTGGGTAATGTAGCACCGCAAGCTAGCAGAAAGGTACTCTGTTCTGCAGTGTGTTTTCCTGCATGCCAAATGGAGTGGCAGGTAAGCAAGCCTTCTACACTGCAAATAAAGGTAGCAGGTTCAAAAAAGAGGTTGGCATAATCGAGTTTTACGAGTGCAGAAGGGAAGAAACACCCCATTTCACAGAGGAGGGGACTTTCTATCTACCACCTCTAGCAAAAAAGAGAAAGCAAACAGTACCTACAGCTACTGGGAACCTCTCCTCCCTTTCAGGAAATATATCCTAAGAAGTACACAAAAACACCCCTCCCAAATGCAAATGTCTGATTTACTTGGCAGGTGATATCCTCCACTCGGTATGGGTTGTAAGATTTCTGACACGCTCGGCAGAACTGTTTGAAGTACACCTGTGACAAGAAAGAGCATCCACATGGAGTAGACACTCAGCATCCCAGCAGGCACGGGCCAACCGCACCGCCTCTTACCTTGCTGGTCCCCTGCACACACCACACATAGGCACTCTCCCACCGGATATTGCAGTCCTTGCAGTGGTAGTAGCCATACTTCTGCTCTAAGAACTGAACAGCAGGACAGCAGACTTTAACCATGTGATGCCTGAGTTACACTCATTTCAGAACCTGGGACAGATTCTACCCCATACTTAAAATGACTAAATTTCATTCTAGATCTAGGGAAGTAAGGTTAGGTTTGGATCAACCGCTAGATCAATCAGGTAAGCTAATAGCTCAATCGAACAGATATGTAGACCATATATAGACCAGACTTATTTGGCTGGCTGACACATTAAGTCTTTGCTCTCAGACAAGGGAAAGGCCAAGTATCTGGTGCTGTATAGAGCTCAGGATTCTTTCCTAGGCCAGTTATGTGTGGTGACTCAATCATCTTAGAACACACACACACACACACACACACACACACACACACACGAGAGAAAAGGTATTCTTTAGGCTAAAAGAGAAAGACACTTCTAAACTCCCTTGGGTGTTCAACCAACATTTAATTCTCCACAATGCTAAGTTTCCCAAAAAGTCCTGCTGTGAGCTCAGGTCATTTAGTAGGAATTAAGCAGTATTAGCACCTGATTCTTAAACTTCCCATCTTCCTACTTAGTCACAAATTGGGAGCAAGTGTTTACAATGAGGGCTCCCTTTAGGACTATTAGGAGCTTGGAAGAGCACTTAATACATTTTAGAAGTGAGCAAACACCATGGAGACCAAAAAAGTTTAAGATTTTGCCTAAGATCACACCCCCTGTGAATGGTTCCCTCCACCCCAAACACAAAACACAGTCTTGAGAGGACTGTGAGAAATAAGGAATTCCTGGGGGGTTCATGTCTCTCCATTTCCAGTCTTCCTTGTGACCCCCCATCCACCCCATCCCACTCCACGCCCTTTTCTGTGTAGCCTAGGCATTGCCCAAAGGCTTAGCAGCTCTGGGTGGATGGGGAGCTTTTTAAAGCAGGGCAAGTTTGGAAGGGAGAGGCTTCAGGTGACAGCTTCAGAAATGGAGGATAGGATCTAATAGCAGGACCGGGCTAGTCAATTGAGACTGATTTTCCCACATCTAGTGGGGAAATGAGAAACGAGACCTTGGGAACTGATTATCCCGTGATAACGTTCACCAGCCGTTCTTAGCTTCCTTCAGCCATCTGAGGGTCTGCACTAGACCTTGCATCCACCACGGGGGCCTTGTTTGCATGTGATCCAAATAAAGTAATTACACTGCCTTTCCCAAGAACAGACTGCCAGCGAGTCGGGCCACATGTGTGTTCGTTTTATTGTCTCCCCCTCTGCAGTAACAGTGACTGCAAAATCCTGTGTCCCGCGGACTAGAGGACTCCAGTTCAGTTCCTAGAACCCATATGGTGGCTTCCAACCACCTGTAAGACTCCAGTCCCAGGGCAACCCTCCTGCTCCAACCCCTCCACCACCACCAAGCACATTACTGAAAAAAAAAAAGTATACACTGACATTGAAGAATGCTATGCCTTGCACGCATCTCCCAGGGCCCCCAGCTTAACCCCGAAGGAGACCCCCAACTCTGGAGGCGTCTGGAACCCACCAAACCTCACCTGGAAGCGCAAACGCTCCTTGTCGCGCTCGGTGTTCTGCGGGGAAGCCGAGTCTCTCGAGGCGGCCGGGTCACCAGGGTCCTCCTGAGCCGTCTCTGCGGCAGGACGCAGCTCCTGACTCCCGGGCTCAGGCTGCGAGGTCGCCCCACTGTCCGGGTCCTCCTGCAGTGGCTGCTCCTGCCCGGCCTGCCCTTTGTCCTGGACATCGCCCTCCTTGGGGACTGCTTTCCTCACCTCCACTTCTCCCTTTCCCGGCTCCGGCTCTCCGGTCCCCGCGGGTGCCGGCCTCCGCTCTCCCTCGGTGGGCTTCTGCCCGCCCGCCGCGACCTCCTGCGAGGAGGCGAGGCCACAGAAGGCCACCGGCGAGTACACGGCGACAGAGCGCCAGGAGCGCGGGGGTCTCCGGGCGCCGGCGGAGCTGCAGGGCTGGCGGGAACCGGACCCGACCTCGGGGCTGGGGCGGCGCTGTCCAAACTGCAGCGTGCGGCGCCCGAGCGAGCACTGCACCCAGGCGTCGCGGCGCGGGTTCACCTGCACCCCCACATCGCGGCTGCTGACCGCCCGGGAACCCACCCGCGACAACAGGACCATGAGTTGCGCCCGCCGGTAGTTGTCGAAGTACTCGGTGGCGCTGAGTTGCCCGCAGCCGGGGAAGGAGGGGGGCGTGGACCGGTAGCCCCCGGCACTGAACCGCCAGCCTTCCCGGGCCTTGTCGGCTGGAGGGTAGGGATGCGGGTAGGAGTGGGGTATGCTCGCCGGGAACATGTGTGGGTCCCGCGCTTCGCCAGCCCAGGCAGCCATCGCAGCGGTACAGTTGCCCGCCACGCCCCGCTACACAGGCGGCAGCGCACGGGCGGGAGAAGTTCTGCCACCCCTATCCGCTCGCCCGGAACCCTCCCTGCACTGGTGGGCAGCGACCCCCTCGAGGTTGCGCAAAGACCGCTTTCCTTACTAGACACAGTAGCGATTTGTAGGGGAGCTCGCCGAGGTGAGAGTCATCACCCGGGTTAGCAGAGCCAGGTGGGCACTATGCCCTCATCGCTCCAGATGTCTGCCATGAGGAAGGCGAGGCAGGCCAGGTGTCTGATCAGGGAAAGAAATTACCAAGGTTAGGGGTCTGCTTTGAGCTTCTTTATTGTCTCAGAGCGGTGAGTCCACCCATAGACCATTCAGGAAGGGAAGCACCTTAGGGAGCCTGTGGCTACTGCCCTAACCCAGGGATGAACAGGGGTACTCCTTTTTCTCTCCTCTGGGGTGAAGTCTACAAATTTCCCTAAATAAACCATTCCTTCAAACGATAAATGGATTTGAGATGTGTTTATGCAAATGCAGGAAATGGATGAAAAACAAATGCCTTCATCTCCAGAAAACGTTGGAGGTCATTATTAACAACACATAGATACTAGATCAATCACATGGATGTGATTTTCTCTGGTTTGATGGTGGCTTGACAATTTTTACAGTTTCAGTGACCTGTTTTGAGACAAAACATCAGGAGGTGTTTGTAAGTTGAGCAAACACATGTTTTTGTTTTACTATTTTACTCAGATATGCACCAGACATCTATATTTCCAACCCCATTTTTCTAATACAGTGCCTATCTGTAGCGACGGCGGTGGAAATGGCCAAAGCCCAACAGTGCACTTAACCATCAGAGGTGCACTTTGGCTGACCCAGGTGCAAGCAAAGTTGGAACACTGGTGAGTTGTAAAAACACATGGTTAATACTGAGATACAATATTACAGCGGGAAGATCACATCTGATACTCGAAATGTGAAGCCATCTTTATCCTGGAAGTGAATCATATGTGCTACCACAGGTCATAAATGGCAAATGATAAATCAGTCGAATGGAGGCTCCTGCGTATCTCCACGTTCAGAGGGAGGTCTGGGTAGTTTCCATCATTACTAAGTCATCTGCTCCCAATGTGCCATAGGAGGTGTCTGCCATTTCCTCCTCTTTCAGTTTCTTATAAGAAATATCCGTGTCTTCGTCTTCATCTAGGGAGTCTCGCTTGTGCAGTATCTCAGTTCCGTACATTTTGTATATCAAAACCAAAACCCCTGCTTCTGCAGACTGGAAAAGGGCATAAAGCAGCGGAAACATGTACATACTTCCTATGAAGCGTGGTGGGAAGGCTAGTTTGAGGATGGCAGTACAGAGTTGCACATTCTGACTTCCTGTTTCCAGACATACAGTCCTCTTGCAGTTGGGTGGAAGATGGAACAGAGTAGCTAAACCATAGCCCGAGGCATAGCCTGCCAGAGGCATAAAAATGGCGACCACATAAACAGCTGCCGGGATGCTAGCCAGCAGTTCAGGTCCCAACATGGTGCCAGTCATTATGAAAAGAATCACCAGAGTCACTAACAGAGACCACAGGGAAACCTGACAAGAGAAATAGGCAGGCAACCGATCAGTGAAGACATTATCGAGGAGGAATTCAGACAAGGGAAATAGTACCTCCCACGCAAAATGGAGGTCACTGACAGAGTGTGACCAAAGGCTGGAACTCCATATTAGACATAATTGCTTGGGGGGGGCAGTGACAATTAACCTTTTCTAAGCTCTGGCAGTTGCCTTGACTGGCACAACATAAGAACAGTCTACTCCTTAAAGTCTTCCAAGGATAAAGCAACGATCAGGGGACGGTTAGTGTTTCTAGGCAGACTGTTTTTCAGCCTCTTAGTCTGGATCATACAATGTTCAGTACTCTGCACACAGGTTTAATTTACCCGAACGACTCTTCAAAATGGAGCAGCTAGAATTGAGCCCAAGAACTCATCTATGAACTGAGGCCTAAACTAGACAACTTAATCTTTGCCTCTTCTGAACCCTGGACTTTCCACAAGAAATCAGTTCTCATTTTACTGGAGATAAAAGGTTGTTAAGTTTACAATGAAAACTAACTTAGTTTAGTATAGTTTTAACTTTCAAAGTACAGTTCCAAAGATGGCTAACAATATGGAAAAATGATCAAAACTGTAAGTGCAAGATATGGTGAATTCTTTGCAATTCTGCAACTCTACAATTTGTCCATGAAAAAAAATCTCCTGAGTAAGTTTCTAATGATTCCTAGGAAGTATTACAATAGGGAGATTTTTAGGTATACTGCTACTGATTTGGTAAAATGTGCCTTCTGAGTTTTCTGACTGGTACATTTCACTTATTCAATAAAAGAGAATGCACAGAGATGAGGAAGAAATCTAAAAATGCCTAGTCCCCTCCAGACAGGTGGTTAGGTTATTCTTCTCCCATGGGGTGTGAGGGCACCAGTGATCCAAGTAAGCTGAAGAGTAAGTTATGCCTCTCTGAGAGGTAATCCTGCTGGAGTCTCTGGGGTTGACAAGATTTGATGCTCTTTTGAAAATTTTTAAAATTGAGCGGTCAGTGCTGGTGCACCCCTTTAATCTCAGCACGTGGGAGGCAGAAGCAGGTGGATCTCTAAGTTCAAGGCCAGCCTGGTCTACAGAATGAGTTCAAGGACAGTCAGAGATACACAGAGAAACCCTCTTTCAGGAGAAAAAAATTTTAATTGATCTAGGCTGATCAAAAATTCTACTCTAGAAGATATTGAAATATTTTCCTAAGGTATATAAAAATACATGCAGAGAACTATTACAAATCAATACCTTTATCAAGTATATTTTCAAAGTGTATCATAGTGAAAGCACTGACAGGAATTCCAGTTCTGCACTCTGAGGATTCTACCTATGAAGTTCCTGTGAGCAATTTAACACTCAAGTGTTTGCAAAAGCTCAGTGGTTATATTAGCCTCGTCCGTCTAGTGAGGCCAACTCACCATAATTATTGTATTTAACACATTTCTTCTATTTTTAATTATATATATAATCATTTTGCCTGTGTGTACGTTTGTACACCACTTGTGTGCTACAGACAGTGGTGAGCTGCCATGTGAGTGCTGGGAATTGAACCCAGGTCCTCTGGAAGAGCAATCAGTGCTCTCAACCTCTGAGCCATCTCTCCAGCCCTATTTCTTCTATTTTTAGAGCCTAAGTTCCTCATTGATTATCTTGCTCCTGGAATTCCTTAATTTTTATGATAAGTGCCATGGAGTTAATAATAAAACAGTAGCTGAATGGTTTAGCTAACTAAATGCATCTCAAGAACATCTATGGGGATACTATATACATATAAGTAAGCATTTGTTATACGCTATATTGGTTATTGTATAGGATTTCTTTCACTGCATCTGTGCAGAATTGAACCCTTTGTCTCTCTTACTAGGGAAATTTGACTCCTCTGTATAAGTAGAAAATAAGTTAATAAAAGTAAAACAGAAAGTTACTGTATTCTGAAATCTCCATAATTGTAACACTGAAATGGATCTTTTTTTTTTCTTGTCTAAAGAAACTGGTCTCTGCCCTTTAGTTAGCTGTGTATCTTAATTAGCTTACTTCCTAAAATCAGCATTCTGTTCCCGTTTTCACCTTTCAAAAGAAGTAAAATTAATACTCTCTAGTCAACTAGTAGAAAGTGTATCTTGATGAAATATGTTTAAAAAATAAAGCAATGTTGCCAAGCAGTGGTGGCTCATGCCTTTGATTCCAGGACTTGGGAGGCAGAGGCAGGTGGATCTCTGTGAGTTCAAGACCAGCCTGGTTTACAGAGTGAGTTCTAGGACAGCCAGGGCTGTTTCACAAAAAAAGAAAGAAAGAAAGAAAGAAGATAAAATAAAGCAATGCTAGAAATATTCCCTAATAGTAGCAATCTCTCATCATTTCATTAACTTGAAAAACCATGTAAAATAATGCAACAGGAAAGAGAAATGACAATATAATTTACACTGTTTTATTTTGTGCCTTAAGACCAACATTTTGTGTATTGTATTACGGTGACACAATACCCTGCTAATTTTAACTTTCTTAATTAAGAAGATATTTAAGGGTGCCTATTTCAGGTTTTGTTTCCTCAGAATTAGAGTCCCACTTGAAAATATATCCATGCAATCTAAAATGTTTTGAATAATTTTAATCTGCTCTGAATTTTAGTTTTATTCAGTTAGTGGGAAATGCTTGTCATTTTTTTTCTTGTTGTTTTGTTTATTTTCATACGGGTTCTCATTCTGTAGCTCTGGCTGTCCTGGAACTCACTATGTAGTCCAGGCTGGCCTTGAACGCTCAGAGGTCTGCTCGTTTCTGCCTCCCAAGTGCTTGGCTTAAAGGCTCGTGCCTCTATGCCCTGCAATGCTTGCTATTTGATTTCACTGTGTCCCCATGTATGTGCCCCCACTATGAATGCTAAAAGATATCTTAGACACAATTGTTAATTTTCAAATGTGGTAGTGCAGTGGTTCTCAACCTTCCTATTGCTGTGACTCTCATATTTTGGTGAACATCAGCCATAAAATTATTTCATTGTTACTTCGTAACTGTTATAAATCATAATAAATATTTTTAGAGATTTGGCTGAGGGGGTTGTGAACCATAGGCTGAGAATCAATGTGGTAGGGGTTGGGTCAGGCTCTTGTAACCTGGAGTGATTTCAAACCCCAGACCCTCCTGTGTCAGCATCTGAATGCTAGGATTACAACCTGCACCTTTATTCCCAACCAGAGCTGTGACTTAATTTATCACAGTAAGGACATTAAGCTTGTCATTAATTAGGCTTGTAGTATAAACTTGTGAAGTGTGTCCCTGAAAGTCTTTTCTTCCTTTCCCTGCTTTCCGAACCTCCTAGCATGTCAACTACTCTTCAGAGACCAGACTCCAGGGAGCTACACTGGAAGGGAAGAGTGACCGTACCTTCACGATGTAGTCAGCCACGCGATTGTATTTGTAGCGAATGAAGACGCCCAGTCCAATAGGAATGAGAGTGCTGCAGAGAGTCAGGGTGACTGCCCCTAGCGGGAGCAACTGCACCAGAGGGGTATTGATCCAAGCCCGGCTGTAGATCCAGAGGCAGAGAGGCATCAACACCAGGGCCAGAAGCGTGGAGGAAATGGTCATGATGATGCTGCATAAAGGTGTGAACGGAAGTCAGAAAGGCTCTGAGCCAAAGAGCCAGCCACTTCTTTCCTTGCTGTTACCACAGAGGGAAAGGGAGGAGGGGGCACCGCAAGCCGTGATAGAAATGCCTATCCCATGCCAGACAATGACCTAGGATCCCGGACCCTGGGCCTCATAAAGCTGGAAACTGACTCCTTTTCTTTTAATCCTACCAAATACCCTGCAACGCTGAAACTGGTGGGTGTTACTTGCTGGGTTAAACTCAATTATGTGGCACTCTCTACGAGATTACTTTCTTTATGGGACTCTAGCCCTGACTGGCCTTTTGCATTTTGTTCTAGTCCTAGCGTCAGACTTCTCTCTTCTCTTTGCCTTCCAGTTACTAGAGACATATGAACTAATGCCCTGGCCCTCCGGAAAGGGCCTGTGTGTGAAATCCTAGGGCCGGGTTTAAATCCTCCCCCTATTGACACTCAACCTCTAAGTGTCTGCCAAGATTTCAAAGCCAAGCCTCCATGTCTTTCTCCTCGTTATCCTTCCCTCCTCAGGATTTCATCCCAAACAGCTCCACATACTCCTCCTGATGTGAACTCTGCGGGTTGGGGTGAGAAAGGGGCCATACCTGAGGTTCATGTCACCGTCCACCAGCAGAGACATAAGGTTGGAGAGATTTCCCCCGGGACAGCAACCACATAGGAGTACAGCCACAGCGGCCACCTCATCCAGCTTGAAGGCGAGGGCCAGCAAGAAGGCCAGCAGCGGCAGGAAGCCGAACTGGCAGAGCGCGGCCAGCAGCGCGCCCACGGGCCGCCGGACGTGTGCCCCGAAGTGGTTCACGTCCACGGTGCATCCCAGACCCAGCATGGTGATGCACAAGGCGGCTCCCACGAACACGTTCAGACCGTGGTTGAGCGGTGTGTCCCAGAACGGGGGCTCGTGGGGGACCCAGGGCCGGGGGAAGGTGGAGGAGCCCTGGCCTGCCATTCCTCCCTCGAGGCTGCTGCTGCTTGTGGGCTCCGGGACCCGGGTGGGCCCGGGGCTGAAGCCCATGCTCGGACTGGGAGCGAGGCTGAACCCGGAGCCTGGGCTGGAGGCAACATCGAGAGGAGAGAGGGTGCCGGGGCTCGGGCTGCTGGCGTTGGGCGACAGGGTGAAGTTGTCCGGCAGCAGCGAGGACGCGTCCAAGAGCAGGGTGGCGTTATCCAGGCCGTCCATGGCGCTGTCGCCGAGGCGCGGTCTGCGGGGACTGTCCCCGGCTGCGCCTCCTCCCTCGTGCCTGCGGTCCCTGCCACCTGTCTGTCTGGTCAGGCGTCCCCGCGGCGTCGGTGCAGCAAGCTGGTCCTCGCTCCCGTGTGCATGCCGCTCAGCAGGCTGGCACTGAGCGCCGCGCAGTCCGCGCCCTGTCGCCGCCCGCGCCTCAGGCCCCGCCCGGTCCCCTCCTTTTAATCACAGCTAAGTGGTTCTGTATCAGCGCAGCCAGGGGTGGAACAAAGACCCGACAAAGCCCAAGAGGGCGGAGGAGACCGGGCCTGGCTGCCCATCAAATTCTCTGGTGGCCCTGCCTCTTTTTCTTTTTAATTTAATTTTTTTCTGACTCAAATGTTAAATTTGAACACGAAGTCCCAAGTGATGTTTGGATAAAATGCACACGCTTGTCAAATCATGTTGAACGTATCTCCTTCAACATTTAACGTTTCTTTATGATAAAATCATTCCGAATGCTTTCCTCTAGATTCTCCAAATACACAATTATCTTTAGCCACCCTGCCCAGCAGCCGCACACCAGAACTTGGCCTCTTTGGTAATGAAATCTAGAGAGCCAGACTCATCGAATGGAAAAAATGCTTAAACTAAGTACACATAAGTCGTACATAAACAGTTTGAATAGTCCGCAGCTCTAGGCATAGAGGGGCTAGTCTGGAAGCAGCAACATTTGCAAACGAAAATGTTAAGCTTTTTATGTTCAGTCTCGGAGTAAAAAGCAATAATAATAATAATCTTTTTTTTTCTTTTTTTAAGCCTGGTGCTGTTTTAGAACCAGGACAAACCTGTGGGCTGAACACTCTGTCTACAAACCCCACTGAGAGGTGTTTATTTTTAACAGACAGACTGCAATTGTACATAGCTATTGTGTATGGCATTTTACTCACATACATGATGCTAACGTTCAGCTCATAGCCATTGGGGGTACACATTTGCAATGTCTCTTGTTAGGACCACTGAATCCTCTCCAATCCCCATTTTGAAATACTCAATTACTTGTTGCCAACCAGTTATCCTGTGTCATGGCCTAAATCTTACAATCTTACAATCAGAGGCAGAAGGACATCTCGGCTTCCCTTCTGCCTCTGATTGACTCAATGGGCTAAGAAAAGTCGCCATGAAAAAGAAATATGGGTGCTAAGAACACTATTGGCAGCTTCGGTTGCAAATACCTGTTCTAACTGTTGACTAAGTAGTATAGCCTTTGGTTCTGGTTTGTTTTGTTATATGAATTTTTATTTATTTGCAAGGGGTTTTTCATGTATATGCATATATATATGCATATGCATCAATGCTTATAACATTTTAAAAATTTTTAAAGAAGTCAACAGCAGGTAGGGAGAAGACGTTTCTGCAGTCACAGATTTATCAAGTGTTGTGAGTAAAGTCTCAGCACCAGGATTAAAGGACTGAAGAGAAAAAGTGCAGAGATTCTTGCCTTCAGACAGACTAATCCCCAAACAAATCAAGCCAGGCTTCCTAGGAATGGAGATGGAGTCCATCACTCTGTGTGTGTCAAAGGGAAGACACTTTTCTACACAGAGTGTATCCCTTCAGGGGGGAGACTACCCAAGGAGTGTCCATAACAGTGAATTCTCCCCCCACCAAAGAAGTGACTCCTGTCCGCTTCCCAGAGAGACAAGGTGGTCTCCATTGCCCAGTGATGTCCTGAGCTCCAGTGTCTGCATCCCTTCCTCCCCAAGTCTCACGGAAATTGTAGAGAATATGAAAAATGAAGACTAAGACCATAGCATAAAGAGCTTCAGGAAACATTCAGGAACACATGTCCTCATGCTTTTCTAAGATACTTAACTCCAGAAAGATGGTCTACTGTCCACAGCATTGTAGGGCGTGGCTGTGATGAGAAATACTCAAGCTATCACCACCTATGAGGGTCAAAGACAGACGTGTGATGATGCGTACTGCCCAAAGTGGAGTACATCCAGATGGTGTCATTTTATCACGAGACGGGGTGGTATTACTGAACCCTGCTATGTTGTGGTTTTGAATGTCCCCCGAAAGCCCACATACTCAGGCTCAGTTCCAGTCTGGCACTGTATGGGGGATGCGGGATCATGAAGGGGTGGGGCCTATAGGAAGCTCTTTAAGTGACTGAGAGAGTGCTTGCTAAAGGAACTGTGAGACCCCAGCCCCGGCTCACTCTTTTTTGATTCCTACCACAAGATGAACAGTTTGACTCCATTGTCTGTTCCCACCATGATGTGCACCTCACCAGAGACCCCAGAGCAATATACAGCTAAGTAAGCATGGCCCAAAACATCCAAGATGATAAGCCAAAATGAACCCTTTCCCTTTGTAAGTTAGTTCAGGTATTTTGTTCTAGTGACAGAAAGGTCGGCAACACAGGCTTATGTCCTTAAGCCATGGGATGAGATGAGCCAGTTACATGTGGGAGAGGATACAGCTGGGGCTCAGTTGATCAGGCACCAAGCCTGTTTGCTTTAGGATGCCTCCCCCTCATGTTAAAGATATTAAAACCCACAAATCAAATAAGCGGTAATTACGGGCAGACCAACCAGTTCCTCTTGGGGCTTGGGGAGAAATCTGGGAGGCAATTTATACAATGGGTGAGGAGTGAAAACAGAAAGGGCTCTGCTCGGAGGAAAAGCCCCAGGATCCTGCTCGGCCTACAGCGGTGGGGGCTTTGCGGCCCCTGCAGACCTGCTGTCACCTCTCCTGCAGTGGCTGTTCTCAGTGCGAAGGACCACAGTGCCCTTGCCTACTGGATTCTTTCTGACCACCTCACTGTTGGGGGGACACTTCCAGAACTGGGGGACAGAGCTCAGCCCTTAGGTAGGGTATCAGTAATGAGATGGCTTGGGACATTTCACATCCACCTCTACTGTTGTTCCCTTTCCCTGCCACCGGGGCCAGCCTGGTCCACTCCAGGAGAAAGAACACTCAAAATGGAGAAACAGACACAGAACTCAGAGAGCATACTATTTGGGGGCAAGATATTTAGACTATTATCATAGCTTGTTCCAAAACGAAGTCCAGGAAGATTGAGGGTTAGTACTAATGACAAAAACAAAATATAGGGAAAATATTAGCAAGAATTTATCTCACCTTAAACAGAGAGCATCTTTTAAATCAAGAAGTAGAGGGAATGGTACTGATGGGACAATTTGAAGCTATAACGATCTAAAAATTTTAATTTTAGTACAATGAAATCATAGTTTTTAGAAAATCAAAAGCAAGTTATGAAACAAGAGAAACACGTTCAGTGTGTATAAAGTCAAGAGCTAATATCAGTAATTTACAAGGCAGTTTTACATATTCCTAAGAACAGACAGTGACGGGAAGTAGTCAGTAATAGAGTGCTTACTTGGCACACTTAAGGCCCTGGGTTCAATGCCCAGCACTGAAAAAAAATGCAATAGGACAAAATGCAAACGAAAGGAATGCACACAAGACGGCAAGACAGAAGGAAAACAGTTGCACTTAGAGAAAACACTCGTGCACTTATAGCCGAATAAATCAAACTGTAGCAAGTCAAGGAAGTTTTCCTTAGCATTGGAAAAGACTCAAATGAATAAGATTAAGGGAGGGAGTGGGGGTTTGCTGCAACCAGCTCCACATTTATCTTGTCAGTTCTTCTTTGCTAGAAGAAAACTTGGTAGTAGATGACACCTGCCCTACAAATGTGTATCCACTTGGACCCAGTGATTCTGTCTCCAGTAGTTTATCCCAAGGAAACAATTAGGGAATTGAAAACAAAACTGAACACTACACGGGCATCTAATGTGTGTGGTGCACTCTCCAGAGCCTCTCATTTCATCTTTACATCCGACTTCACAAGGAGTTTGCAGAGCCACACACTGAACACACACAACTGGATGTCAACGCTTCCTTCTAAGTACGTTGGCTTGTAGTCATATGAACTAGGAAGCAGTAACCCAGGAAGTTGTTATGCAGACAACTAAGTATCATGCTTTGCAACTTTTCTTCCTTTTCTGTGGTGCCTGAGATCAAGCCTAGTGCCTTGCACATGCTAAGTGAAGGTTCTATCTATCATGAAGCAAACACCCTACCTCAGCAACCAGAATTCTTGTTTATTTTAATTTGCATTGTTTATTTTTCTTTATGTGTATGTTCATGCACCTGGGTTAATTTATGTGCTCTCTCCATTCATGGGGATGCCCTTGAAGGCCGGAGAATGCCGGGTCCCCTAGAGCTGCAGTTATAGACAAGGGTGAGCCACCTGATGTGGGTGCTGGGAGCTGAACCCAGGTCCTCTGAAAGAGCAGCAAGTGTTTTTATTTTTGGTTGTGAGCCTAGCCTTTAAAGGCTGAGCTATCCCTACAGCCTGCAGCAAGTGTTTTTAATCACTGAGTCATCTCTAGTCCATGGACGAACCTGGGGTCCTACCAAAATGCTGTCTGCCTTTCTGGGTTTATGTGTGTGTGTGTGTGTGTGTGTGTGTGTGTGTGTGTGTGTGTGTGTTATTGACTTTTCTAATTCCTAAGAGGGTCCAAGACACATTTAGGAGAATAGTTAGTGAGAGAAGAAGAAACCACACAAATATGTGTGTGTGTTTACATGCTAGTAAATACCTTAAACATATGTGCATTTGGGAGGTTTGTATAAGTATTTCAATTTCTGGACAGTCTTTAGAGATTGGGACTATTTCAGGTAAAGTGCCAGGATTCTGACACAAATTGGTTTAAACTGAGAAGAGATTCCTGACTCAGAAATGATTAGCCTCAGTGTGGGGCTCCATCCCAGAGCTGGGATCCCTGACTCTTTCCATCCCCCAGCCCCAGGCATCTTCATTTTCACTTCTGCTTTCTCTGTAGGAAGCCCCAGGAGGATCAGCTCCCTTCAGCTGGCTTAGACATAGCTACAGAAAGAGTCACTGCTTCTTCTCAGTGCCCCCCCAAGCCCCCAAAGGTCCTCGGAGTCCATCCTTGAGTCAATCAATCATGTGGCTAGTGGACAGATGTTCTTACTCAAGCTTGGGAGTAGTCTCAGCATCCCTCAAATTGAGAGACTCAGAGGAGGCCAGGAGGGGCCTCCTCACAGGGCTATGGGGGAATGTGGAATGCTGTTAACAGAGTGAGGAAAAGGGGATGTTGGGAGATAGAAACACAGAAGTTGTTATCTACTGAATGGCCACCAACAGGCATCTGAGTGTCTCCCATTGCATTTCCAGCATCCGAAGTTGCTGCTTTGAGAACCTTTGCCAGTTCATTTA